AGCTACACGATTGGGCGGCCCGTTAGTGGGGCTGCCGTCGATTTCAGGCTGCACCTCCATGCAAGCGTCGTCTGCGATTGAGATTCACAAGGAACTCCACGAGAGAATGGCTACACTGCATGTACGGAACTTCCACTGACCACGTCTATCCTTCATCCGCATAGGCTTTGCGGTGGCAGACCCTGTCCACCAGCCTGGCTAATGACACTCGTTTCTGATGCTTAGGTGGGCAGCTGAGCCTGCTCACTGAGGTACGGTTTCTTCGGAGAAACGATTTGTAAGGGCGGTAAATCGTCGGGAGCCAGCCGCAGAGCAGGGAAGTCTCGCCCGGGCTCTATCGGTGTAGGTTCGGGAAAGACCTCATCGCATGAAATGTGATTAGTGTCCGAAATCCACTCTCTCATCGTTCGAGAGTCCAACACCGGTGAATGTCGGCAGCCCAAGTACTGGAAATGCTACCATATCTTTGAGACGTGATCACCGCATACTTGGTTTTAAAGCATGATCGAGAACCTGCATGGGCTTTACATGTCGTTATCGGCCGAAATCGACCTTTGTGACCACGATTGTCGATCTGATCTTCGCGTTCTTCCGGCTGGCAGTCCTGTTCTCGCAGATCTACTGGAAGATCAGCACGTAGTCCGTCAATTCCAGAGTCGTTGCTTGGTTTGACCTTGTTATACTTGATGTGCAGCTCTTCAAGCTCATTGTCTTTCTTTTGCAGTTCAGACTTGAGGCTTGCGAGCTCGACACGGATGGTCCCATCGGTCTTCTTCTGACGCACTCTGTCTTTGTACTCTTCCAGCTGTCGTGTCGTGCTTGCCATCTACCAATGTTTAAACTCCCCTCCTCGTCAACGACACACAAACATCATGACCGGCTTCTCTTCAGGCTTGGTCCACCGTTTGCGGACTTCATTCACAAGCCGTGCCAGCGAAACCTTTACTACACCACCACCATCTTGCGGTAAAGCGCTTCGATACTTTCTCAACTTTCCACCATCGGTCCTTGAACTCATCTACGTCTACCTCGAGGACGAAGATCTCAAGAATTTTAGCTTGACCTCCTATACCATCCTCGACAAGGTAGAACTGACACGGGAACTGGCGCCCAAATTTCGTGTTCTCAATCTGAGATCGGCAAACCAGGTCAATTCAGCCCATCGAATATCGCATGGTTTGATCAGTTCCGAAACAGCACCGTCGTATCCTCAAGATCGCCCATACCTACTACCAGAAAAAGATCATCCTCCAACATATTTTGAACTTACCCAAGCTGCTTACCACAATGCCTTTCGTACACAGCGAGTGGGCGCACCACTCACGGTGCAAGTGTGGATCTGTCCGCACCTGGGCTGCACAGCGACTGAAGCATTCACGCTTCGAAAGCAGCGACCCGTAAGCCGAGGCTTTCCGCGAGACACGACACCGGCACAGTGTCCATTTCCCAAGTGCTCCTTGTGGGCTCGGCATGCGCTTGTGGAGACTGCAGATGACACAGGAATACTTGAGCTATGCTCAGCAATCAAAGTTTGTCGTTACAGATGTCAGGATATTTTGCAGGCCCGGCAGGTCTTAACAAGCGGAAGGAACAAGGACATCTTGGATCGAGCAACGAATCAGCTTCGCATACCTGTTTGCTCACACCTGCTGCTGAGCGATAATGCGATACATCAACTGTATGACCCTTCCGAAATCGCCATACTTGACGCACACACCGCCAGCACAGCCTTGGAGACATTGGCAAGACTGGAACAGGACCTTGACAGGCATAGTTGCGAAGACTGCCGGTCAGTAGGAACTTACACTACCTGGGGGTTCGTAGCACGGTATGTGTCTGACGCGACAGGCAGCTGGCTAGATGTAGAGCTGATGCTCTGCCGACCCCTTTACGATGCTCAAGCCACCGACTCCCCCAGAGGTGTCCATTGGAGACATCACACGACGCGTTTCCCGCAGTCAGTGGATTTTGTGGAGAGCTGGTGGAAATGGGCTGAAACTGTGGCTGAGGATGGTTTCGACTGGAGGGCACGACTGCCGGCACGATTCCTTCTTCGAAACCAAGGACAACTTGCTAACTTTCCCGCGCGGCCTCCGCGATATGATGGGCTTACGAAGCCCAAGAAGTTGAAGGCAAGGATGGCTCCAAGGTGGATGTCGCGAGAGACTCTCGGAATCGCATACATGAAGGCGTTGCCGTCATCTACAACGATCTGAGAAGGTGCAGATGAAACATGCGTAACAATGGTGGTGAATATGAGAGCCCGTAGCTCGTAAAATTGACACGAAAAGCTGCACCAGAACGAGGATTGTAGGTGTGGAGGCAACATGTCGTAGAAGACAGCGCCTTGCCTGATCAACGATATAGACAGGTACCGCAGTACCATCGCCTCTTGGGTACTACTAGCACTGTACACTAATGTACCAGCATCTAAATGGCAGCGGATAGTTTGGCCCCTGACGTTGTGGCCAAGCCTTCTCAGTCCGGCAGCAGCAGCCGGCGAGATCCCCTCCTCGAGCAGTACCTGTACGTTGTCGTGTTTCAGCTGGCAATGAGAGCTCTTACAGTCGTCTTGTTTCTTAAGAACTCGTTGCTTTCGAGTTCCTAGGATAGTGGCTAGATTTCATCCTGTAGAAAACCAAGTTATTTTCAAGCGTTACATTTGGCATTCGTGTCTAACGTTTGAGCCGCAGGGGGAATAGAGAACGTGTTTGCTTCGGCGCAAACTGTTGTGGTTGAGGGCATTCTCAGGGCAGAAAAGAGACGGACAACTGAAGGAAAGAACAAGGGGGGGCGTTGCCAGAATAGCCATCGAAGAACAGAGGTTTGGGAGAGCTGTCGATCCTTCCTCCTGCGATCACGACGAGGCAGAAACTCAGCAGGACGGTGGACTTACGCACGAGGTCGTCGTTGCCGAACGAGCAAGGCAGACGACAATGTTGTAGATCGTGGAGAGGGGCAAGCAGCTGCCAGGCAGCTTTGCCAGCCGCAAAGCCAGGGGAAGAACACCAAAAGGGGACGCAGACGCCGACCGGACTCTGCACTCGCAGCCGCTCAGTACAGCATATCGACAATAGAGTTACCAAATTGCTCGCCTGGAAGATGCGCATTGATGATAGCTGTCACGTTAGGGTGATCTGCCCAGGGCATAATATTCAAACCAGTGGAGTGTGTGATAACAACAGTGTTGTTGCAATACCCAGCTACTGCTTCCACAACAGCCGTGCTGTTCCAGTCTGCGAGAAGTGATGTGCGATCGGCTCCTTGACCTGCCCAAGTCTTGAGAAACACGAGACAAGCGTCCGGGGTGGGTGTGATCGTTCCTAGACCATTTGCAAATGTAATTCCAGGAATACCACCTACCAATGGGAGGAGCAGTACTGTATTTTTGGTGATGTATTGCACAAGAGTGTTGTCTTGTGCAGCACGCGCCTTGATAACCTCGAGAGGGGACACAAGATAGGAGAATCTCCCAGTACCACTTCCTCCACCTGCTGGCAATGTACCAGATTCTGTGTGTAGTTAGTACTGAGCTTCTGACTATTGACGCGGACTTACCAAAACCGTAAGGTCCTATTGCCGCACCAGAGAAGTACATGCCGTCTGTAACATCCCCAGCGTCATTGCCGAACACTCCGATCGACCTTGGTGCTCGTAGTGGTAGTGTACTGTCGACGTTTTTCAATAGCACAGTCCCTGCCGCACCAAGCTCGCGAATATGCTGTCGATGGTTTTGACGCACGTCGACATCGGCAGGACCGTAATTGAACTGGTACACTGGTTCGGAGTAGAGTACGTTCAAAGTTGAGCTTTGCCCGTCGATAGGTGGAAAGTCTTGATCTTGGTTCAGATAAAGTATGGAGTCAAGATTCTGCGGATCATATCATCGACTCTATCTTCGGAGAGAGTGCCATTTTGAACAGCAGTTGCAATGTTGTTTTCAAACTACGAGGCGTTCCAGACACCTCGTCCAAGTGAATCTGTCACACTTGTCAGTGTCAATCACAATCACCTCGAGGCATTACATACCTGGCATATCCATGTCGAGACCTGCGTTGATTGCATCATATCCAGCATGAGTGGCAAGCCAATCAGACATAACATAGCCCTGGAAGCCAAGCTCGGTTTTCAAGATGCCATTGGGAAAATATGAGTTCTGGCAAGCGTAAGAACCATTAAGCCGATTATACGAGCACATGACGGACGCCACGTCGGCCCGGATGCTGTTGGCGAAAGGCCGCAAGTACAGCTCGTGCATAGTTCGATCGTCGATATTGGATGACACCGCTTCGATGGTTGTGCCATTGACAACAGTCAGTTGTCGTTGAGTTTCCTGCTCATTGCCAATGAGATGCTTGATCGTTGCTTGACTCCATTCTGTTGTATCTTCCAAATCGTTTCCTCAGCTCCTACGCCACTAAGGTATGGATCCGGCGAATACCCTTTCCAATTCCGCCCAGCATAGGCGCTTCGTCCTAGGGGACCTACTACAGGGCCTAAGAAAATCTGGCTAACTTTGCCTCTGAACTCAGCTCCCATATATGATCCTCGCAGATACATTAGACTGCGATCCCATGAAGCGGCCGCTATGAGTCCGGCGGGAAAGACTGAGGTTATACCCCGCAATCGTGACTCCAGCCCCCACCATCTTCACGCTAGAGCGCCGACGTTATGTCCGGCAACTCTACACTGAACCTGTTTCGCTTCTTATCTAGAGCACGTCCATACGAGCAGAAAGCTACTAATGTATCCTCTGAAAATTGGTATGTACACAAACTGATAAGGTATCACAAACAATGCGGAGCTGACATTTAGGATCTCTACCTTGTGTGATACTTTCCGAGAACCTTCGCTACAGCTATAACATCTCTGCGTCACAGCGTTTCGGTCGAAAACTATTCAATGGCATTGCCTGCCTACATACACTTGGCACAGTATGTCGGGTAGAGAACCAGGAACCAAATGCCGGCAGCTTGCAGATAGTTCCACGGGCCTCGGCGGTGTTTGATGGACACTGGCTACAGGATTGAGTAAGACGGTCAGATTGGTGATGCTCATTGGTGGTGCGATTGACGAGCAGCTAGTCACGAAGTATTGTGGCGGGCTTGGTCTTAGTTATAGCTCCGCAACGTCTTGCTTGGCCACCGCATCGCACATATGCCATACTCATAGCCGAGGAGAATACAAGCCATAAGAGTCACGAAAGCTGCTCTCAAGATTAAGGGCCACAGCTGCGTATCCTAGCTAATCCTGTTGCCTATCATATAGAGTGGAAAATGTGGCTCGGCCGTGTTTCTCTTACCCTAGCACTTGGTACTGTCAGTCTTGCCAACGCACAAGATTACAATACCTCACCACCCTTCTACCCCAGTCCACCAAGCGATGGTCTGCTTTGGGAGACTGTCTTTAGTCAAGCTGACGACTTTGTTTCCAATCTGACCCTTGAGGAACAAGCTATCCTTGTCACTGGCACTCCTGGGCCTTGCATTGGCAAAATCGGCCCCATTTAAGGTCTTGGCTCCAATGGCCCGTCTTGCAGACAAAGGCCATTGGCGATCAGGCAAGCCACCTACGCCTTGTGAGCTTTACGCAATTTGTTTTTCTGAGAGTAATCTTTAGCCTAGCTGGATTTTCTCTGGCCGAAGGTCCTGGGCGCAATGCTACCTAAACGCATACACGATCATAAAAGGGTCCCAGGATCACGACGAGCTTGGACGGAATGCGTTGGCTGGGTGTGAAGTCCGTCAATACCCCCTCGATTCCAAGGTGAAAACAGTGGTGCAGTGTGGACAATGCGGCGTGAGCCGCTTTGGCGTACCTAGCTGATTTAAAACCCATGACTATTGCGAAATGACCCTTAGCAGCAGTGCTTGGCAGCAATGTGGTTAGAGATCATGCATGCTTCCTTCTCCTATGATTCGATTCAAGTAGTGCATACAGATTGTTGTGCTATGCCTCTACTGTGCCGCAAGTTAGGTGGATCTGTAACGGTGGCACTCATGTTTAGGCCGAAAAGATCTCCTCTGGGAGGATCTCCTCCTCATCTAGTATTAAGCCAAGGTTTCTATAGCACGAGCTGCATTTGTGCAATAGAGCAGCCAAGTACTGGTTCAGAGAGAGTAGCACTTTCTAAGGCTAAACTTCGGGGAAAAGGTCGCCCATGCTCTTATGACATCCTCCGTAAACGGACGCTGCAACCCTTAGCATCTTGGCAAGTACAGGTCAGCCCCACTTTCTTCAGCCGAGTGATTTATCGCGTGCTGTTATGATCTTGTCTCGTCGGCCGACTGTCAACATTCCCACAGTAAAATGCTAGCGAGACGGGGTCCCTACGCCTAGAACTCAAGAGTACTACTGGTGGCTGGTGCAGAAATGCTTTTTGTGTCCCTTCGTTGTCGTTGCGACCAGACGCATGGCTATGTGGAAAACAACGGTCGCTGACAAGTTTGCAGTCTTTGCGAGTGGAGTCAGAACGGCCAGGTTATCACACACAACAGCAAGTACGTCGACGGTAGTCTAGCGATAGGAGACATGGAGATTACGAGCGTGGCCTAACCCATTTTGTCATCCAAATTCCTGACACCCTTCCATTAGATATGATATTAAGTATACGCAAGAATAGCCGATGAAACTGCGGAACTGAATACACGCTGGTTGTGAAAACAGCGGTGCAGGTACCTACAGAAAGACGATTGGTGGTCAGGTGTTAGTGTCTAGAGCTATTCCAGGCCCAGTCCGATCTGGGGCTGCAGTTGATTGGTTGTGAAGTAGGCAGCACTCGTTGGAGACTCGGCCGTGATTTTGCGTTGTCGCCCAGCAAGAGATCCTCAATGGATCGGTATCCCCGTCAAGATGCTCAACAAACAGATATGAACCAACTCTTACTCATGCTTGGCACTCAGCTCCGCCTGAGCAGCAAATTTTCTGGGGCAAGCGTTGGCACTGATAGATGAAATTCATTCCAGTAAAAGGCATAACAACCAGTTCATGCCCTCATCGTCCGCGTACCTTCCGGGCTTTCTTCTCGTCTCTTTCGACTCAATCTCTCACCAGTTTACCCGACAGTAACCATGACAGGAGGAGACGGCATCAGAACTCTCTCGACAGCGACTGACGTCAATGCCATCGAAGCTCCAGTCACCTGGAAGGCATACCTCATCTGCGCATTCGCATCGTTTGGTGGTATCTTCTTCGGTTATGATTCTGGTTATATCAACGGCGTCAATGGTTCGATCAACTTCATTGAGCAGGTCGAGGGCTCTGGCGCCACTGCTTTGACCTCATCTCACCAGTCGCTCATCACTTCCATCCTTTCCGCTGGTACATTCTTCGGCGCCCTTCTTGGCGCTGATTTCGCGGAGATTATCGGGCGAAAATGGACGGTCATCATGGGCTGCGGTATCTACATCATCGGCGTTATCGTCCAGATGATCACTGGTCCATCGGTCGACCCACTTGGCGCCATTGTTGCTGGTCGTCTCATTGCTGGTATCGGTGTCGGTTTCGAGTCGGCTATTGTCATTCTCTACATGAGCGAAATTGTAAGTCTTTTCACGTTGTACATACACATGAACAATCACATTTGCTGACTGTCAAAAGTCCCCAAAGAAAGTTCGAGGTGCTTTGGTTGCAGGTTACCAATTCTGCATCACTATTGGTCTGTTGCTTGCGTCTTGCGTTGTCTATGCCACGCAGAACCGATCTGACACTGGCGCATACCGAATTCCAATCGCTATTCAGTTCGCTTGGGCTATCATCCTCGGAGGTGGTCTCGTTTTTTTGCCAGACTCTCCACGATACTTCGTAAAGCGAGGCAACATTGATAAGGCTCGTCTAGCTCTCCAGCGCCTTCGAGGCCAGCCGGCCGACTCCGAGTATATTCAAGCTGAGGTTGCGGAAATTGTCGCCAACGAGGAATACGAGCGACAGCTGATTCCAGCAACTAGCTGGTTCGGCAGCTGGGCCAACTGTTTCAAGGGTGGCCTCGGGCACTCGAAATCCAACTTGCGACGAACGATTCTCGGTACCTCTCTCCAGATGATGCAGCAATGGACTGGTGTTAACTTCATCTTTTACTACTCTACACCGTTCCTACAGTCGACCGGTGCCATCGACAACCCCTTCTTAATCTCCCTGATCTTCACCCTCGTCAACGTCTGCTCCACTCCCATCTCCTTCTGGACTGTGGAGAAATTCGGTCGACGAACCATCCTCCTTTGGGGTGCCCTTGGCATGTTGGTCTGCCAGTTTCTTGTTGCTATCATCGGCGTTACTGTTGGGTTCAACAAGCTCACCACCAATGCTGCTGGTGATGCAGTCGCTCGAAACATTTCCGCTGTCAACGCTCAAATTGCCTTCATCGCCATCTTCATCTTCTTCTTCGCCTCCACTTGGGGTCCCGGTGCCTGGATTCTCATCGGCGAGATCTTCCCTCTTCCTATCCGATCCCGTGGTGTTGGTCTCTCCACAGCCTCCAATTGGCTTTGGAACACCGTAAGTCTCCGTCTATGCCTTCCCAGATCATTCAAAACATCCATTGACAAGCTCTACAGATCATCGCTGTGATCACACCCTACATGGTTGGCACGGACTACGGCAACCTTCGGTCCTCCGTTTTCTTCATATGGGGTGGTCTTTGCACCTGCGCCTTTGTCTATACCTACTTCTTGGTTCCCGAGACGAAGGGTCTATCCCTCGAGCAGGTGGATAAGATGATGGAAGAGTCTACACCACGAACATCCGCCAAGTGGCGACCAACCAAGACGTTCGCGGAGGCCATGGGCAGGACCGCTGATGGCAAGCTTGATACCGGTGTCCTTGCCAATGTTGAGCGAAAGGGTTCAATCTACTAGAGCGAAATTATCAATTTCGTAAATACATAGGAAGCTCTCGAGAACGATGGAGGAGTGATAGGGACAAGTTCATGAATCTATCTTGATCCATCCTGTGCCGGACAGGATGTTCAGAATCATTCTGGACATGCTATTAGACATGAGAAATGGTGTAGATGAGAGATGAGACGATGAATAATTATCATATTAAAGCTCAATTATATACTTGTTCTTGACATCTAGTGCTGTATCCATTGCAATGTCAACTCAAGATACCATGGCAAGCAGGCAGCTTGGGCTTGTACAGTAAGCACTCGTTAGGAAGAAGAGCCACTCGTTGCGAGCTCAAGCCCAGAGTTCCTCGAAGACCGGGTCTTTGCGTCCCATGTTCAGAGCAGCGTTCCAAGTCCCCACTGACTTCCAGTCCTCGGTAGGACCTAGCTCGAAGTCCTCGAACTGTGTCACGAGCAGGGCTTGGACGTTCCTTGGCTCCACCGTCAAGAAGATGAGCCCTCCGAAGGAGTGTTGCCTCTAAGTGATTCTCCCGACCTTCTCCGAAAAGATGCGGTCAGACTCGTTGGGCTCCTTGTGTTCGTTGTCTGCTCTGAACATCCGGGCAATCATGTCGATAACCACGGGATACTTGTACGCTCTGAGCAGGGTCAGCTTGCAGCTCAACGAGTATTCTGATCCAGTAAGGTTTCCTGCGTGCCGGACACAAGTCGGGCCTGAAGAGCCGAGGTAACTCCACCACCCGGAATAGTAGCCATCCAGAATAATGGCCATTTTGCTAAATATTGTTGCTGGCCTTGGTGTCACAAAACGTATATGTATTGCTATATAACTCATACTGTGTTATTGGAGGCTGCTATAGAGGTCGTATTGGTCACAGCTGCGTCCAGTGCTTGCGTCAGGGTTGACGGGAGCACGATAACAGGCATACGAGGGCCATTTGCACCCGTTTGAATGTTAACAAGCATATGGAATGACATATTGGGGTTGACTGGTTGTTGTCGCTTACATTTGAGTGCTATATCGTTTCATTGCTTCTGTAGATTGTTGTTCTTTACCCTGGCTATGGCCAGGGTGAATTGTGCTTGTTCGACCTTTTGCTGGTCTTGGCGACCACAGTGCGTACTGTATCACGCAAGTTCCCAGCTTCCGGGTAAGGGAAACCGATCACAGGAGTGGTTGGTATGTTGGCCGGTTAGTAACAAGAAGTGTAAACACAACGGGGAAGGTACTTGGAAGGTACCAGTGGAGCAGATGATTAAAGTTGGTTACAGAGAGACTATGAAACGTCAGTTGCGTCTAACCTACGGTGTAAATATACTATATAAGTCTGGTTGCTCTTGTGCTCTTATGCTCTTGTCAAGATCAGAAGAGCAAGATGTCTCCCGGCTCACGATCATAAAGCAAGCTTGACCAGTTCGGATGACGGAAATGTAAGAATGGTCAGCTAGGAAACTTATTTTAAACCGACCGACGTTGTCGTGCTGATGTTGAGCGAGAGTCAGCAGAAGCATTCTGTGCAGCAAGGGCAGGATCTATAGAATGTTATGTTGAGGATTGGGGAATGCCAAATACACAAGAGGCTGATTTGCCAAAAAATCACACTGCAGCAGCGCATACCTGGGCACCACTTCGGTCAATAGTACATGAGCGCTACATACTGATGAGATTGTCGATCAGTGTACTGTTTATGACGCATCATGCGAGTAATCTCTTCCATGACAATCAGGCCGGCTCCTTGCTGAGGCTTGCATACTACGAAGCCAAGCTGCGAATGCTGAGAAGGCATGATCTTGGCAAAGCGGAACACACCCGCACATGTCAAGTTCGGCCGAAATGGACTCATCCTATCGGAAGACAAGCGTGTTTGTCTTGAACCTGCTTCTCAATGCTTTGCGAAAGCCATGCTGGTGCTATGTGGCACGATCTCGCCGAAAATCACCCTTATCAGCCCCGTGGGGAATTACATTGCCACATAGAACTCATTCGGGCACGTGAGAACCTGCGGATTGGCGCAAGATTCTGCGTTGCTCCTACTTGACGAACCAAACGTACACCGCCGTGGGTATAGTATGCCAGGTCCCCGGATTAGTTTCTGCGACCGACTTCGGCACCGATACCGCCAGAGCTAGGCTCTTGCATCGCCACTCATGTCTGCGGCAGGACGACCGTCCTCATGTATAAAGTTGCTGGGCAGAGCGTTTTAACCTCTGCACTCTGTTCTACGACCGACATGGCGTCCCTCAGCAAGCTGTCTACAGCATTGATGCTGTGCCTCCTTCCAGCTGTCCACCCACAGGAAGTTGTTGTCGACGGGATTGTCCAAGAAGATGTTTACTTCTACGGCCAAAGTCCACCAGTGTTCCCTTCGCCAGAAACCAATGCCACAGGCTTATGGGCCGATGCCATCTCACGGGCACGTGACATGGTAGCCCGGATGACTCTGGACGAGAAAGTCAGTATCACTGGGGGTATCGTCAACAGCACGAATGGCTGCGGCGGTAATATTCCGAGCGTGGAACGAGTTGGCTTTCCGGGGATGTGCCTGCAGGACGGAGCAAATGGTGTCAGAGAGACCGACTTTGTCAATGGTTATGCTTCAGGTGTCCATGTCGGCGCAAGGTAAGCTCGGCCATTTGAGGTTTCGATGACCAGACTAATTCTTACGCGCAGCTGGAACCGCAATCTGACCTATGCTCGAGCCCATGGCTTTGGTGGTGAGTTCCGCCGCAAAGGTGCTACAGTAGCACTTGGTCCGATGATTGGTCCACTCGGTCGCATCGCTCTGGGAGGTCGAAACTGGGAAGGCTTCAGTCCTGATCCATACTTGTCCGGCATATTGGTAGCAGAGACTGTTCATGGCATCCAGGACCAAGGAGTCATTGCTACCACTAAGGTAAGTAATATCTTCCAACCCTGAATCAGATCTAACGTTGTCAGCATTTTGTTGGGAACGAGCAAGAGCTACTCCGAAATCCTCGGCTCGACGCCTCCAATGACAACAAGACCATCGAAGCCTCTTCTACCAACATGGACGACCAGACTATGCATGAGTTGTACATGTGGCCTTTTGCAGATGCGGTCCATGCTGGAACCGGCTCGATCAGTAAGCACTATCGTTGTCAACCAACAACATGACTAACGATCACACAGTGGGATCATACCAACGACTCAATAACAGCTACGCATGTCACAACAGCAAAGCACTCAATGGCCTCTTGAAAACCGAGCTTGGTTTCCCGGGCTTTGTCATGAGCGATTGGTTCGCCCAGCATGCAGGTGTTGCGAGCGCACTTGGCGGCCTCGATATGGTTATGCCTTTCGGTTTCGAATTTTGGGGTGACAACTTGACTGAAGCCGTCGCCAACAGCTCAATACCAGAGTTAAGAGTCGATGATATGGCAACCCGCGTCCTCGCAGCATGGTACCTTGTAGGCCAAGACACGGTCGACATCCCGATGGCCATCGGGATCCCACCGAGTCATCTTCGGCAGCATCCCTATATTGATGCGAGAGATCCAGCTGATGATGCGACGATCTTGCAAGGAGCTATTGAGGGGCACGTCCTTGTCAAGAACACAAACAATGTCTTGCCGCTGCGTAACCCAAGGATGATATCAGTGTTCGGCTACGACGCTAAGAATCCAAATGCGAACACGCCTGCACAAGGCTTCAGCGGGTGGTCAACAGGCTTACAATCTCAGAACTATGTCGCTGTAGTCTGTGGCTTCGGGACTGGCTACGGTCCACGCGGCGCAGAAGGTTGCCCACCATTCTTACCCATCGGACCAAACGGCACAATGATAACAGGAGGAGGTTCTGGCGCCGCGACTTCAGCTTATATTGACTCGCCCATTGAAGCATTACAGCGACGCGCTCGTCGCGACAAGACGGCCGTTTTTTGGGACTTTGACACTGTCAGTGCTAATAGCACAGTCGATCGGACTAGCGATGCGTGCCTTGTGTTCTTGAACGCTGCTTCCTCTGAGGGTATTGATCGGCCAGCATTACGAGACGATTTTTCGGACACGTTAGTGACGAATATCGCTGCACAATGTAACAATACGATTGTGGTGATACACAACGCAGGCGTCAGACTTGTTGACCAATGGATCGAGAACGAAAATGTCACGGCTCTCATCTTCGCTCAACTTCCTGGTCAAGACTCGGGTGAAGCTTTGACTCAGATCCTGTACGGAGATGTATCTCCAAGCGGCAAGCTTACTTACACTGTCCCGCGAAACGAGTCCGATTACGGTAATCTCCTTGAACCCGTTGGCTACGAAGGCTGGGATCGTTACTTCCCCCAAGACAACTTTACTGAAGGTGTCTTTATCGATTACCGCCACTTTGATCAGCGGGGTATCGAGCCGCGATATGAATTTGGATTTGGGTTGAGCTATACCACATTTGAGTACTCAAACCTGAACATTGAGGTTGTGACTTCGAACCTGACGGAGTATCCTGTAGGACAGATCATCCCTGGAGGCCAAGCGGACTTATGGGACGTGGTAGCTCGAGTCAGTGCTACGGTGAGCAATACTGGCGGGGTCGAAGCTGCTGAGGTTGTGCAGCTGTATCTTGGTGTCCCGGGTGGGAATCAACCTATACGGCAGCTTCGTGGCTTTGACAAGGCCGTAATACCAGCTGGTCAGAGCAGGGACGTGTCTCTTGACTTGAGAAGAAGAGATGTCAGTGCTTGGGATGTTGTGGCTCAACAATGGAGGGTTGCAGTGGGACAGGATTACACAGTCGAGGTTGGCGCAAGTTCGAGGAATCTGCCATTGAATGGAACGCTGGTGTTCTAAGCGTGGATGGACATCCAAACATCGGAAGGTGGAGGCGGCTGTTAGTCTCAAAAGAGGTCCTAAGATAGCTGCGAAACGAGCATGCACCTCGCCAGAGCCTATGTTGAGGAAATTAATTTCGTCGTCAGCCTCATCTCTTTGGTATATGCTTGATACCTTGCCGTCTCGACCAGTGGAAAGGTCCCTGAATCTTGACCATATTCTCTGAGCACCCACGTTGTCGTATCTACCGTGCTGATACTCCGCTATTAAGGCCTTCTTCTATCTTTGCCGAACTGAATTCGAGACGTACCCTCCATCTATATTCTTATACATTTAGTAGCGCTGTTTGGGAGGTAGTTCACGAGCACTGGGTTCCTGTACCGATATATACTGCACCAAGTGTGTTGGCACGCTATAGGAAATAGCCTGATCAAAGATACCAATATGTATAACCATACACTTTTTCTCTGCAAAATAGCATTTGCAGCTCACACTATCCACGTATTGACACGAATGCCTTGCAAGCTTCGCGCAAATTGTCGTCTGCCTGATGAATTAGGCCGCCTAAGTCGCAGCGGATCAATTCCACGTTAGCCTTCTAGGAGAATCTCCTGATAATTGCTGTTCGAGAGGGGATGCGACAAGCAAGAAGCTCCAGGCATGACTGTGCGAGAGCTATTAAAATCTTCGAATCAAAAGAGCAGATAATCATGCTTCATGGCTGCAAATTCATCAGATTACGCAGGCGTCGAATCGAACATTTGGTTAAGCAAATTTTGCGATCTGCTTTCGCCACTGGCTTGTCAGCACTGCACTGCTCTAAAGGCACTGCACGCACGTCTAGCGCTAATATCGGTCCAGTCCCTGTGTCCTTAGCTCACCGTTGCTTCTTGAAAACAAGTGATCCGTATGCTATATCACATATTTGTGGAGCAGACACCGAGGATAGGAGCAGTATCATCATGCAGAGTGCAGCGCTACTTTCAAATCGCCTGATGAGCAACGATCAATGGCCAGATTGAACTTGCAGATGCTGTCTGCTGCTCGGCCCTGCAAGAACACCATGGAAACATGATGAGGTTGGAGAAACATTGTTTTCAAACGTTCGGTCATGCTATTACAGTACTGTATACGAGCAGGTGCTTAGATCATCCCACATCTACGTCTATCGTGCCCCGACCTGTTGAACAGTTATACGTGATCCATGCATTATGCTCATATCTTGCTCTAGTGCACTATTCTAGCGATCAATACATCTAGAGGTTGGTTAGCTTTTCCTAGTGCCCTTCTAGTGATCACGCCCAAAACGATATTGCAAGTATAACATCGTCAATTACACCATGAGTAGTTCGTTATCCACGTACTAGCACTTTCTTCAATCATGAAACTGAATAACAACCTTGGTCTCGTCGTGATTGTTGAATCGTCTGTAGTACTCAGGCGCATCCTCGATGTCGATGATGCTGCTGACAATCAAACTTGGCCTCAATCGTCCAGATGCCACCAGGGGTACAATTTCTGATGCGATCTGTAGAGGTAACACCACGCCACCGTCAATGGTCAAGGTCTTTTGCCAAGCTTGTCCAATATCAAAATTGGGCAACGAGTTTGGAAACAACCCAACTATACCAATACCTCCTTCAGGTGCAGTTACATTGAGCAGCTGCTGAAGCGTGATACCAGCATCAACTTGTCCAGTACTGTTCACTGCCTCGTATCCAACTGCCTCAACTCCCCGACGGACGCCTCCAGGCGAAGTTGCGAGAATCTGCTCTACAGGGTCGGAATTGTTGAAGTTGATCGGAATCGCACCAATAGATTCAGCAAGGTCTAGGCGCTGCTGAACTTCATCAACGACGAAGACTTGAGATGCGCCTCGCGCCAAGGCAGAATATGCAGCAAGCAAACCCACAGGTCCGGCACCCATGACAGCAACAGAGTCTCCGGACTGGAAGCCAGACCAGGTAAGGCCCATCCAGGCTGTTGAAAGGATATCAGTGACAAATAGGTAATCGATTAGAGTTGAACTGTTGGTGGTTGCATTGATTGGAACGGGGACTAATGAGTTGTCTGCGAAAGGTATTCTTGCATATTCAGCTTGAGACAACAATTAGCAAGCACACATCGAAGATATAGCGCAACTACTAACTCTGTAGTCCAGGGAGAGCTTCTCCGCCTTCGAGACCACCCCAACCCAGTGGTACCACGTAAGAGTCCGGCTCTAGAGCGTAATGGCCATTGTCGATGTTGTCAGGAATGACAACATAGTCACCAACCTCCAAGAACTGAACGGCATCACCAACTTCTGTGACATAGCCAATGGCCTCGTGTCCGTACAGGTATGGCTGTTCAGGAGATCCCATAGCTGTTCGATATGTGTGCAGGTCACTGCCACAGATGGCAGTGGCGTTGATGCGAACGATCACATCGGTTGCGTTGATAATTGTTGGTACTGGAAGATCGATGACAGATACGTTGAAGGCTTGACCCAACTGGGCGACGGCACGCATCGTGTCGGACATATTGCGGTGAGGGTGTGTACTCACGGGTAGTTGAAATGAAGACAAGGACGAAGACCGTCCCAGGCTGCCAGCTTCCTATATCTTGGAAAAATCTCACTTGGGTATGATTGCTGCGCCATTCTGTTGACGCGACAATGTTCAATGTCCATGTCATGTTGATCGACCGCCAAGGTCTGCCGGCCCGGCATGGTGCATTTGTAAGGACTTACTTCAGGTTAGTCAAGCCTTGGCAGCAGTATCCATGGCCAATCCAATCCTTCGCTCGTGATCGGAGCGAGAATCATAGCTCATCACGCAGCCTCCCATCGAAGCTTGACAAAATTTCGGCCGATGTACGTTCAAGCTCCGACGATCTCCACCCCGAAAACCTGGCTTAGCACTGTGATAGCGGTTGATGCTGAGGGAGCTGGGACCAAAATCTTCCTTGGGATGCCAGCAGTGGCCAAGGGTCACTCTCACTCAAGGTCAGAGTCTAAGATGATGAATTAGGCGATGAACCATCCGATACCTGAACGCAATCACTTTTCCCTCTACAGCGGTTGTCTCTGGTTACAATGACAGACGATCGTGATGCAATGTTGACATTACTGAACATTTCCGGCCAAGCTTGCATACCTATTTTTTTTCAGATCTATCCAACAATCGAAACAGATCGCTTCTGTGCTTACTCGCAGTACATATACCCTACACCTCGAAATTCAACGTCCTCTCAAACCCTGTTCCTTCACCATCACCCTCTTCTATCCTCCTCGTCGCCTTACCTGCTCAATCTCAACCTCACTCATCGACCCAGCCAGCGGTCTTAAATCATCCCCACTGTCATCTTCTCCATCCATCTTCACATCCTCGGCCACCTTATCTGCGTTTTCACTACAACGGGCCTTGTATGCTTGTTGTGAGTTGAGGTTAGGAGGAGGATGAAAGTGATGCATCTATTTGCGCAGCGGCTAAGCTGAAGGAATAGGGTCATGCAGTGTATCCTGAACCATAGCACGTCTAATCATGATATTTTGTTCACAAGTTTCGCTCAATGATTTGACCCGCATTCGAGACACTTCTTCTTGCGCAAAAGTCTTGACCTTTGCGAATTGGTGCTCCTGTGAAGACACTTGCCTTTAACACATCTGAACCTTGCAAGTTCCGGAGCCTGCTAAGAGACTAATGCAAGTCTCGGGCCTATGCAGGTGTCAGAATTAGGTACTGTACAGCTCAACCATACACGTCGAGCTTTATCTCATGCCTGCAGAAAGTTATATGCCTTGTTTTTTACTATGACTAACGATCAGGTTCAGCTACGTTGACGATTCCTTGTCCTCTCACCATACAATTTGATGGTTGTGGTCCCACATCTCTAACCTGTGGCGTAGTAGTAGATGGAAGCATTCCTACTTTACCAGGTTGCACTTGAAGTGACGGAGAGGACTATTAAAGCTGATAGAGCTGGAGACACGAGACCCTTTCACGATTGAACAGCAGCAGGAGAGAGCCTTGACCTCATAGGAACATGTGCCGCACAGGCCGAAGCTTATTTTCATCCTCAACACGAGGCTCGCGGAAGCCGATCTGGAGTTTCTCTGAAGTACCCATCTCAACACTTAAGATTAGCAAAGCTTCTATGGGAGAATTGGGGCTAAGTGCTTAGTCATTAAGAGGTCGATAAGGGTGTAGCTAGCGATGGACCGCTCAGTCGTCACCACCACTCTTTTCCCATGCCGTCATCTCGTGGCATTGACTTGACTCTCTGCATGCATAGGGCTCAGGCTTTTGTCCTTTACAAGAGGCTCCTCACGCCTGAGTTCTTCCAAGGACGATTCAAACTTCGTTCAAGATGGACGGTATCCGGAGTAGCGCAGCCTGCATATCTGGTTCCCTAAGAGCTTGCAACATACGCTCCCACATGTCACCGTCCTTGATGCGCAAATGTATGCCATCTTTCTCGACGATGGCACGAAGATTTACTGACGCTGTCGTGCGCCGGAGTTCACTGCTTTGCAATCAGCCTAGGTAAGCAGCAGCTGTTTGTGTACTGACCCTAGCCGCTCCATGATGAAAAGCTGCAAACAGAGTCCTTCTACGAGCAAGTTCGAATGTCAAAGAGCCACTGTTGTACAGGAATCCGTGAAGGAGGACTAACGAGAAATGCATCTGCTGAAGTTTTCTGTTCTGCCTAGCATAAAATATAGAAACCTGGTTCGATACATCTGCAACAGTACTGGAGAGGTCTCCGCAAAAGTGGTTCAATAGGATTGTACAACGTGTTCAGTGAGGAGGCTACAGTAGCGCAACGGATGTGCAAACATCCTAGCTGGCTGCGATCTAGTCACCCGTGTCTCCCACAGGGTACAAAGTGTAGCTAAGCGTGCAAGATCAAAATCAATGCAGTGTCCACCAGAATATGTTGGCCTGCGTCCGCTACGAACAAGTGAAGAAAGTCAGCCAAAAGTAGGCACGCGTGTGCTCACCCTAGCGATCCAATGAAGCTTTACCACTAGTCCACTTCGTAGCCGATTTGGAAAGTGTCCTACTATCAAGTTTGTTGGTTATGTCAGAAGGGTAAGTTCGACGAGATCTCGATAGCAAGTGACCTGCTTGGGTACACCTCAGCATCTTAGCTAAGCTGACAGTTTAGTCATTCCCTCGACACCACATTTCGAATCTCAACAAGAGCATGAACAGTGAACAATCGAACTGTAACGATGCGCCTTCCGACGCGGCAGATGAAAGCGTGACCTTACGTGGAACCACTATTGCTCCATTCGATGGACTCGGCCGGGATCCCGCCTCTCTGGTGGGATGTTCTGTAAAGTGGTACTACGAAGAGGACGAGCCGAGTCGGCTAGAGCTGAAGCTCACAGATGGACGGGTACAAATTCTCCAGGAAAGACGCCCTTCAAGTTTGAAAAGAGGGAGATGATGACGAGAATGTGGCCGAATCTCGAAAATGCGCTCGAGACTTTGCGTGGCCAATCAGACAAAAGTTTGCTAATACTTGAAGCTGTTGTTGGTGAGCGACCAAGCAAAGTTACCGACATCTGGGATGTCAAGTGGTGGGATCTAAAGCACCGAGTTATTGGGCTGAGACTTAAAAGCATGGACGAAGCTGGATTGTTCTACTGTGAAAGAGAGGAGTGTGACGATGAAGATGATCTGGAGATGTACGTTCATACGTACGAGGACGTATTACTCCTTTCGAAGTAAATCACTTTTCGACGAAGTCGTCGATCTTGAAGGTAGGGAAATTTTGACAAGAAGATCATCTCCTCGTCTTCTGGAGGAGTACATCATTGTGAAACGAGATATCGACATTTTGTACCCCGCACATTACGAATTCCTGAGCTCGCCTGAGGCCGTTGTAGGCGTCCGTGCATTTTCACTTGTAGAGCTTTACTGCCTCCACGAGTCTGTTTTGCAACCCACAACTCCGTGTGGTGCTTTACAAGACCTTGTCAAACATGACACGAGGATCTTGTAGGACTGTGGGTAATGATGATCTTATGTTATCACGTTCGATGGGTCACAGTCCATAATAGTGCTGTACGGCAAGAGAATGATGAGTCGTCGCAGCATTCCCACACTAGCAGTAACAAGCCGATGCCTCTCCTGAAAGTACCTGTTGTTTCAGCACTCTATATTCTCAATGAATTAGGCGATATTTACATTTCATGGTCGACGAAACCATTATCGAAACCAAGTTTTGCCTGCCTACGCTTTACTTATACCTGGTTCGAACGTCCTCCAACGTACTTTTGGCTCGTGACTCTGATCGTCGAAGCTCGGAGCCGTCCCGCATGTGCACACTCAGTCGTACAGGTCAAGCGGCTCGTCAACGCTTTGAGGCAAACACAGGCCCGTGGCTTCCAAGGCGTGGTTGACGTGGAGACAGGACAGTTCTTCCTCGTCCTCTCGAGAAAGCGTGTGGGCGATGGACACAATGTTCTTGATCTAGCACTGTTAGGATATTCAGCACATTGACGTCGTCCAGCGCACCTACCTGACGACCATTAACATTCAAACGAGCAAATCGGTCCAGATAGTCTGCACTAAAGTTGGCTAACCCATCTTCCCCACAAAGGCTTGTGAGAAAGCCGGTGAGGACTTCTTTTTTGGCGGCTCTGCCGAGCGGGTGGTACTGCATCTGCAAATGCATACGATCGAGGATAGCACCGTCAAAATGATCGACCAGATTGGTGATCAAGCTGCCTAACAGCCATGCCACGTGACTCTGGTTTGTGGAGTCACTACATTCTGCCTTATTTTAATTTGCGCAATGCTGCCTAGAGTCCGCAAGTACACTCTTTCAGCAACTGAATAATTAGTGTTTCATTGCACGTTCGATATGACAGACCAAACCACCACTCATCCTGTCCATCTTTCGCCACAAAATCCGGTCCAATGTAGTCCGGTCCGGTCCGGGTCGGTCCAAAGTGGCCCTCAGCGCCACTGACCCTATGTTCAAATACTTTTGGTTACAAGTCAGTAGCGTCACCATATTAGGCTTAGTTTCGAAATTGTTACTCGGACTTGGTGTGAGAGTTGGCATTTTTCATACTGTAAGTCTCATGAATCGAAAACACTATTAATTTTTCGGTAACTATCGCCGATGTCATCATTGCCCTCACAGTGCTTCTTCACATGGTGCTCGTCTTTTATCGTTGATCGAGTAAATGCTTCAGCAATTTGATTTGTTCCTTGTATTGTTCCTCCTGCCGAGCCATCTGTCTCTCCAACAGCGCCATCTGCTCCTTGCTCTGCCTCTGTTGTTCCGTCATCTGTCTCTCCAACAGCGCCATCTGCTCCTTGCTCTGCCTCTGTTGTTCTGCCATCTGCTCTCGTAAAAAGGCTATTTCGCCCTTTTGCTTCTTACTGGCAGGATTACCGGGTTTCTTAAACCCTGCAGTTCCCTGAGAGGACCGAGCGCTCGGGTCTTGCTCCTGAGATTCATCTTCCTCAATGCTCATGCTGGAAGTCATTGACACGTTCCGCGGATCCTTCATGGCCGCCAGAGCGTCACGAATCCTCTTCAGATGCGCTGGATAGAACGTGTGGTAGATCTCTCGCACGAAGTCGTGCGTCCTCTTTCTGCCCTGACTTGCTTCGAAGTTCAGCACGAAGGACTCAATAGGATATCGATAGAATGCTATCTTTTCTCCATCGATGATAGCAAAGTGACCGTACAGTTTCACCCTTTCGCTGTCATGCGAGACCGAGAACACCAGAATTCGCCCACTCAATTCCGGCACTTGCGCTTCGTCTGCAGCACGATAAAGTTGTATGATGGCATTCACCGCCATGCTGCTGCTGTGCATGTTTTGACGATCAGCCACACTGATCCCTACATCGGCGCTTTTAGCCTCACAAAGCAGAAACGGGAAATAAAGGTTGTCAGTGAACAGTGTGGCGCGCTCGAATGCCGTGTGGTTTTGCAACTTCGCCAACTCTTCTTCGCTGAAAGCGGACACGGCAATTCCAATCGCCAGATCAGGTTTCGGTCTAGGACCTCCGAGCGTCTTACACCTCACCCACTCTGTGTCGATGTCTTCCACGACATGTTCCAGCTCTTGCTGGCCACAGATCGACAGCAGCTCCGGTGACGGCACCAGCAGCGGTGTGAGGTCTCGACAAATCCTCGCCTCGTTGCGATTTTGCACTCGCTGCCACACTGATAAGAATTTGGACAGTGGAAATGCCGTGTGTTGTGGCTCCGGATAGGTGCTTTGTAACAGGCGTTTGCAGTATGACTTGCTCTCTTCCTGTACGTGCGATAGCCCCTGCAACTCGTCAATGTGCACTCCATGCCCAGCCAGAACTTTCTCGGATGCGGCAGAGTGCGCCTTCGGTACTTCTCCATCCTTGTAGCTTTGCGTATAGCTTGAACCTGGGGGCCGTTTTCTGGACGAGCCGCTCTCCTGCTGACTCATTGCTGTGAAGTTCGCAGGCCACTGCGCGGTATGCGCCCAGTATGCTACTGGTGATGTTGTTGGTGACGCTATCGGTAGATACAGTTCCGTGCCGTGTCTCTCGCAGTGTTCGCTGGATACCGGACTAGTTGCGCCGGACGCGTCTGCGGTGACCCCAGATATTCGCCTCTTTTTGCGGTGTCTGCGTTGCTGCCCCTTGGTATCGGCCCAAGATCTCTTTCTCTTTTGTCCTTGCAGACAACGCGGAGGTTCGTCGATGTCGGAACGGGAATCTAGAATTGCCGCAGAACCGTCTGGGGCAGATAGGGACCTCTTCTGAGAGTTTTGTAGGACCGCTTCGGATAGTTGGTAGATCTGCTGATGATAGATTAGTCATAAGACATCTTCATCCTTTGCGCCCTTCCTACCTCGTATTGTGCAGAGCTGCTTGTGGAGGGCGAAGGTAGCATACGGCGTTTCTTCTTTCTCCTTCCAATCGAACTGCCTCTGGTGCTGCACACTTCGTGGTGCTGCAAATATTCGCAGTCGGGAAGAAAAGGTGTCATGGACTCAATATTTCCTCTGTCACAGGAGTGAACGGATGAATATCAACCTCGTCTGCAACGGTCGTGCAGGCGCTGAGTCTTTTGGCTGCCTGCTCATATGTGATGCGAAACATGATGTTGCACAATCGATTGCTGATCAACGTCAGGCCAAGGGCGTTTAGCAAGGATACGTGCATCACGTGGGGTCTCCACCGCTAATCCTTGAGAAGAAAGCTTTGCTCGTGACATCCAAAAGGTATAGTGCAAATCCTTTCGCGAGTAAGTCAGTCGTTAGGCGGTCCAACTTGGTATCTGTTTGTGCATCCTCGTCAGCCAACACATCTTACTGGTAGGCAATTTCGGAGCAGGTCATGAGCCCGGACCGATCAAAACTTGAATATACAGGCTAGAATCTGACACGTATACTAGAAGAACAAACAACCTCGGGAAAGGTAGCCAAAGCGACAATCAAGCCAGATGCTGTTTGGATGCTTCCCTCCTTGTTCTCTATCAGAGAGCACAAGTGTTTACGTCAAGACTCCTCCGGCTTGGTCGAGAAGAGGGCGGACGATGGTGTGAAGCACTGTTGAAGGGACATACAACAAAAACTAGTTGTAGCTTTCAGTCCACGAAATTAATGACACAATTCGATGGAATCGCTCGTAGTGTCACGTCGATGTCTCCCATTGCCTAATGCTTACCTCACTAACTCCTCAGGTATACCTTCTTACAACAAGTAGTCGCCGGGAGCAAACTCGTGTAAGATGCTGGCTGGGACCTTAGAGCTCAGACGACTGGAAGACGTTGACACCAATGCTGCTGTCGCGCACGCTTGCAATCGCCTCATTTAGCAAAGCCACTAGACTAGAACGCATATTGCGACGCATGCAAGAGAGGGCGGCCCAATCGCGCAAGGCACACACGACTTTGGTTTCATCGTGAAGCCCTCGCGTAAACTTGATCACTATGCTTCTCGACCTGCGCTACATGCTCGTTAACTCACAGGCACCTAACTGGCTGTCTTGGATATTGTAGCAGCACCTATTGTAACCGGCCCAAGTTGGCGGCAGCTCGGTGTGAAAGAGATGGAGGACCCACCGCAATAGTTCGAAGCAAGCGCAAAAAGTACTCTCTTCGGTCTGCAACCATTCGATCTCACACAGCATGAACATCCTTCGGTTTCCCCGTATACCACCAACTCCGAGCTTCGTTGTTGGTAAACAATCTTAGGGGAAAGAAGCTTCCCTAGCTGCAGTATCGTGTAAGAAACCTTACAGCCATAGTCACTAGCCATAGCCGCAGCCACAGTGGGTATGACGCGACGAGGGAGCCATCAGATCCTATGGTCACAGCAAAGAAGTCACCTCGAACGCACATCGTAAACTTAGTGTACGTTCACATTTGCAAAGCATGCAATCTCCAAGTGCATGGACTTGAGGCGTGGTGCCTATTTTTCGTGCGGGACATCCGAGCCTCCGAAAGTGGTAGGTGGGGTGCGGATCTCGCGCCACCACTTTTCGTAGCGGTTCGATCTACATGAATACAGTCCATGAGTGATCTCTTCCTCCCTTCTCAACTACCGTGTCACGTACAACATGGGAAGGCGGTCGGAGCTCGATTGGTCTTGGACATTAAAAGACGAGCCCGCTGTCAGGCGAGAGCTCTAAATTCCAGCATGCCATCCCTCTTCTTCCTGTCTGAACCCGAGTTCTGCTTTCACACGCAAATGCAATATTTCACAGAGCAGTGAATGGTCCTGAGAAGAGAAGCGAAGAGAACTTGAAAACAGTGGGAAGACTGCAGGTTGAGGAAGAAATCTTAGGCACTATGCAATATCATGATCAGGCCAAGTGCAGCTTTGTGCTGCGCTAAAATCATGCCTTCTACTGTTGTCGAAGTCAGGGAGACGAGCCTACAATGTCAATGCGGTGAAAAAAACGCCACCGCGTCATTTGTACGCTGATGATAAGTACAATGTTATATCGTTGAGCTGCTTGTAAGAGGTGGAGGACACAGACAACGAATGGTTGTTGAGGAGTGAGGACGAAGAAGGCGGGGCTATGCGCCAGTGTCCCTTCCATCCGCAGTCATTTCTAAGCTTCTCTAATCGATCCAAGAATGGTGGTAGATCTGGGACGCCTTGGGCATCTTGATGCTGATTGTTCAGATGTTGTTACGCTGAAAGTAGTGTGGAGGGAGCTTTTGCAAGCAACCGTTACCAGACCAAATATCTTACGACTAGTAGCGCTAGCTGTAATAGCGCAATCTAAAAAGACAGGTATATGTCTCTAGTACTAGGGGAGGTCGACGCTTAAGGACGAGAGGGAAGCAAGATCGAATGAAATAGCTAGATAGGAAGGTCAACTGTTTCCGAGCATATTATCTGTGACGCTTCTGCTCACTACTCCACGAACTCACGAGCAAGTAGCTTATGGTCTCAGAGCAGACTAGTGGCCAACTTTCTCACTCCACAAACTGGGCTACCATATGGATACTATACGTGGTGTCTTTGGTCGCTCATTGAATGGTAACGCAGTAGTGTGCCTTTCTTGGCGTTGCTTGGCATGGGTTTATCGTTCATCGCTTTCCCACAATCTCTCTCTCTCTTGTACATGCACGGCAGCTTTCTTAGACTTTCAGAAGATATAGCAAGGACCCGGGTTCAGGCTGTATCCAGTAGACGCGGCGTCGGAACAAGGATGAAAGCGTTTCAACCGATCAAAACAATTGGCCGTAGCTAGGCAGAGCTTCATCAAGTGGAGGAATCGGTTGCTCGACCAACTGCGGTAGTTCTGACTGACCAGATAGGCTAGTGAAAGCCACGGCTTGTAGAGAATACATCTACCGAGCGTTCAGCTATTGGCCCTTGAACTCCCGGGATCATTTCTGTGCGGAAGGACGATGCCACTTTACGAGCCAGCCATCGACGCCGCAATACGGTTGCAAAAACAACACGACAATAAGACTGCTGAGTGTTTACATATTGACTGGGTAGGAGTTGACGACTTAAGCACCGCATACAGTCATGACGTGGTTCGTTATGCTCTGGACAAGAAGTAGCACAGCCTGATATCTAGCCCACAGACCATTATTCGCTACAGTATCTTCTTAGCTGAAGTTCCGACTCGCATGCACAGAGAAAAGACGTTCCTGCTAGGTCTGATCCGACTCCCCAGACATTGTTCCGCGTCCCGCGTTGTCGCATATCAACAGAAAGTGTGCCAAGCAGCGCCAAAACCCCGGGAAGTACTGAAGTCCAACATACATTAATGGTAGCAGCCACGGGCGCAGATGTGTTGTGGGGCTAGCTGCACGACAACCACCTCAACTTGATGCATAATTGGCTCAAGAAACGAGATGGGCGTCGTCAAGCATAGAGGAACTAGCCGTTCGGATGGCAATCTACAATGCCATACGGAACCGCCAACGACTTGCAGCGGTCGACATCAAATAAAAACATCTACCCTGCAATGAACTACGGGTCATGTGGTGATGGTTCTTTATTCCTGTCGAGCAAGAAGTGAGTGATGTACAACGAGGATCTGGTGCAGCTTGAAAGTGCTTACATGTTCTTGACAGACGGGGAAGTATTTCGGCTCTATTGTTTCAATGCCTCTTTCGTGGCCCCAGCTTTGCACTTGTACGCCTCCTTTAAGCTTCAACAAATACTGATCACTGAACGCTAAGCTCATAGAGGTATCAGATAGGAACTCGCGTTCTGCTAACACTTCGCCTTTGGAAGACCTCCTCAATTGCAGATTGTGTGTATCCCGTGGTGATATGGCTGCTGTTGCAACATGATTGCTACCTGCACGGTGAAACGATCGTTGCTAATGGTAAAGCACCATCCAACTATCGCTGATTAGAGGTTTATAGGCGCTCTTTGGCCATCGGTTTGCCCGGGAGACAACTCGACGGGCAGGCGCCAAGTTCTAGCACGCTCGTATTTGCTCTCGTCTACTCTAGTCGAATCCGATGCATCTTCTGACATCCAGATTTCTGTCCAGCCTTTCACCAAGATGCTTCTCCGGAACTGGCCATGCTAGAGACCACAGGCAAGAAACGTCACTCTACCGAGACGATACATTGCCTATCCTTCCTTGACCCTGGACTTGGTTGCATTAACAATATGCATGCACCTACGTGCATACTACATCTTGTGGCTAGACATACAATGCCACTGTCAACGGCGCAACCATGTGATTCGTGCTTTGCTCTAGAAGGCGGTACAGTAATACCAATGTCTTCAGCTTGATGAAGTCCTGCTTGTCTCTTTCCGAGTTGTGTAATGCTGGACAAAGGCAAACTTTCCAGAATCAACCTAGTCCTCATCAGTTGTGACTCGATCTCGAAATTTAGAGAGTAAGATAGCAACACCATCTTCGGGCGAGAAGAGGACAAAACTCGGTTGAAAACAATGATCCAAATGATTCCCGGCCGCGATGTTGCAGCACGATACTAATTGTATCGTGGTTGCGCTACATGAAAACCTTTAACGGTTGGCCAGCAAACAGTACAAACTGAAATCCGAAACCCGAAACCTGCACTTAGTCTGGCGTCCGATGACACAGCTGCGTCTCCTCTTCCCCTCCACTTTTGCTCAAAGTCGTATAAGACGCCAGTTCATATCGCTATGATACGCCTTCGTTCTCTGCAACTCCAGACATGCAGACCGACATGCAAGTCCCTGACACAAAAACACAGACACAAGGCAAGTGACTCTCGGAGACCACCCACGTTTCCACTGACCAAGACCAGGAAGATACAATTTACGGCAAGTCGTCGAGCCGCAAGACAAAACAAATCGTCCATCAAATTCGCCAGAGAACGTGACGAGGCCTCATCCTGTACTGCGCACGTCATCATCTACCAGGAAGAGGAGGAGACATATCCAGTGCTCTGATACTTACGACCCGCACATCCCAGATCGTAAGCGACAAAAGACAGTCGAGAAGGGACTTTCCAACCGAACAATGTGATCGAACATTGATGTCGGAAAAACTGTTGGCCACAAGAGTATTTCCAACCTGACGAGATGAGTCAATTGTTGGCGCGCAAAAGGTCGAATACTTTGCTGCGCCGCAAGCGGTCGGATAGTGATTTGGTCACACAAAGTTCGAACACACCGAGCGACCAGAAGTCCCGCGAACAAAAGAGCGCACCCTACCGAGATGCTCGCTATGCGAACTGATCGTGCCTTCTGCTGAGAATTTAACAACTTATGGAGCAAAAGAGCTTCGCTGTCTGATTGAGAGTGTGAATGAAGGATGAAATAACAGCATTCCTATCACATCAACACGCCCGCAACCCGATTACGGGGTAGGTTTTCGTCGAGAAGCCTTCACTGACGACCAATTACGAAAAATCTAGCCCTTGGTGAGCAATCTAATGGATCAATCCCTCTTCATGGGCACGTACTATATGTACTTCCCATTCCTGATGTGTGAGGTCAAATGTGGAGCAGCGGCACTCGACATTGCCGACCGACAGATTGCTCATAGCATGACCATGGCGGTTCGAGCCACTGTTGAGCTGTTTCGGCCAGTGAAGCGAGAGAAGGAAACAGATCGAGAATTTTTTGCCTATTCGATATCTCACGACCATCGATCGGTCTGAATCTATGGCCACTATCCCGTGGTCGACCGCACAAAGATCACATACTACCGGCATCCAATTCACGAGTTCAGCTTCCTTGCTATGGACGGTAAGGAAAAATGGGCAACCTACAAAATCACGAAGAGCTTGTACTGCTCATGGATGCCGAAACACTTTGCACGACTCGGCTCGGCTATTGATGCGATTCCGGCTGACTTGGATTTCGAGCTGTCACAATCGGAGTGACGATTTTCTGAACCGTCAGGGCTCCCGCAAGACGTTGCCAGCCATCACACCACGGACTCAGAGACTGGGACTGTCGCCTCAGAGGACGACGAGTTGCGACCAATTTAATCCCACCTGATCCGAGCGACACCACTTGCCCAAAGCTCGACGCGAAACGAGAAACCAAGGAGAGGTCGGACATAAGAATGGTTTAACTGCCGGTGAATCTTGGCAAATCAGTGGAATGCACGAATTATACACGAATGGTCAAAATGCGGATAGACCACCGAGCCTGCCATCCCGCGACTCGACGAGCACTGCTAGAAGAGATCGACACATGGGCTGAACAGTCTACGGACAAGGGCATCTTCTGGCTCAATGGCATGGCTGGTACAGGCAAGTCGACAGTTGCATATACGCTTGATGAGCGACTGGATCGACAGAGATCGTCCAGTCGTGTCCACCTTGGGGCCAGCTTCTTCTTTAACCGAGGCCAGAGGGATCGGGCATCAGCTGCGCTCTTCTCTCCAACGATTGTGCGTCAGCTACGCCAGAAGATACCTAATCTTGCTGCACACATTGATCAAGCTATCGACCACGATCTTGATATATGCTTAAAGTTTCTAGGGAAGCATTTTGATGAGATCGTAGAGAAGCCGTTACAGAGACTCAACGAGTCTCCATTACGATCACAGTTTGTTGTCGTGGTCGATGCGTGAGACGACTGCGCAGAGGAAGATGATGTCCGAACCCTGCTGCGATCATGGTCTCGCGTGGGTCGGAGTCCTCATAGGTGTGTGCGCTCGTTCCTGACCAGCCGGCCAGAACTGGTGATTCAGCACGGATTCTCACGCATGTTGACCGATACTCGTGATCGCGAGGTTTTTCATGACATGCCAGCACCGACGATCAAGCACGACATCTCCATTTTTCTAGCCGGTGCGGTCGAGACACGTCGCTGCCTGACCAGGTCCACCGATAGTGCCTTCTCTTCGCCTCATCCTTTCGAGCATTGCCAAGGGTCTGCGTTCTGTTCGGGCGCCAGCTGTCACATCACCTGTGCCGATGCTTCTACTACCAAGCAACTCGCGGAAAATTACCAATCATATAATAGACTGACTTCATGTTTTGCCAGCTAACCAATCACTGAGATCACACGCCGTAATAGATATATTGTCCCAGACCGAACTCTTCTTCGTCTTCCCTCTCCTCAAATTCGACAACAGGCGCTAATGCTTCGGATAGCCGACGGACCTTTGGCTTGTTGCCACCGCTCCTGCCCAACGACCGGTTTTCAACCCAGCATGCCGACGACGATTCCATTTGCCTCGCGTTGAAGTGCACATCAGGAGTCTCTACCTCCTCAATCCAAACATCCGGAGCACCATCAGCAGTCATAACACGCTCCAATGGGTCAACGTCGAATGGATCGCGCACA